AGTTGGCAGGTTAATACAGATGCAAAGGATCACAAAAGTAATGCTGGAGGCAGGGTAAAATCTACACCCCCCTCGCCGTGCAGCTCAAGATAAGGCGGATAAAGTACACTGGCTCCAGGTTGCCCCGGGCTATGGGCTATGGTGTGGCGATTCCAAAGCGAGCTTTTATGAAGCACGGGAGAAAAGGCCGTGCTGATCCTTTGCAGAAATGAGCTACCTTTAGTAGCGGCGGGAGCGGTGCCAAGCATCCCACTCTGCCTGAGTGTATCGGCGATTGCGATTCCACTCATCCCATTGCTCCTGAGTGTACCCGCGGTACGTGGGTGCTGCCGCTGGAATGGACGCCTTTGGCGTGGCACAGTTGCGGGCAGTCACCTGACGATTCTGCTCAGCCAATCTTTCGGTGTGTGCCGCCTGTAGCTCAGCCGAGACCGGACTGTCATCCAAGATGTGTTTGATCTCCTCGCGCATCTCGACAGTCGTATTTCCAGCCAATCTCACCTCGCCGTCGAAAGTAAGGATGCGGCGTGCATCAGGTGTGTGCATGGCGATGTCGGCATAGAGGCGCGGAGGAAGGAATGCACCCATATAGGTGAAACCGATGGGCACATCACACACATCATCTGTCAAACGCAGGGTGCAAGGGCTCTGGTCCACTTCGCAGTGGGCATAATAGACCAACTTGCCTGGGGCAATCGTCTGGGATGCCGAGGAAAAGTGCGATCCGGCTCGTTGCTCCTCGTTGCGCCCCGGATCGGGGAGGCATGCCTTCGCAATGTCATCGAAGCGGTGCATGTCCTCGAAGGTCCGGCCCTCTTGCATCATGCGCTTCTGGAATGTCTCGTCAAGGGTCCAGCGGCTGGCGACACTTGAGAAGTTAAGCTTGGTGCAGCGGACGACGCGATCTTTTGCATCGCTCACGACCGTGGCTTCGGCGGACATTTGGCCTCTCTTCTTTGAGCTGGCATTCAACTGCCTGAAATCAGCACTGATGAGATTCTCCACCGGCTTGCGGGCTCCTGCTGCTGCCGTTGCCACGAGGCGGATGCGAAGGCCCTTGTTCTCGAAGAACTTTTTGGTGATCTTCGAAGACTCATCGGTCTGGGGTGCCTTGCGCTTCAAGCAAAACAGCATGCCCTTTGCCACCAAAGCCTGGCAGTTAGCGCATGGGAAGGATCCAAGTGGGAATGGATCATCTTCACCAGCATCAGTCGTATCGCTATCGACATTGACAACAGCAGAAGGCTCACCCTCGCGGGTGGCTTTATCATCGTCCATGGTGACATCTGCCAACGCCTCGGCCGATGGTGCTGACGACGGCCTCCGTTTCGAGGTTGGCTTCAAAGCCGGTGCCTTCGCTGTCGTCGGGAGCATGCTGGAGGAGCTCGCCGCTTCCTCGTAGTCGCGCTTGGCTCTGAATCCAGGCTCACCGGCGACGGTGGCTTCAGTGCTCTCGGCAACATAGAGGGGCTGATCCTTTTTGGAGGTGTCAACCGCCGAGATAATGCACTCAGGTGGAACAGTGTTCCGTGTGAGGGTGCCATCGGAGTTGGTGACAAAGAACTCACATCCAGCAGGCATTGCTTTCATCGTGTCGATGGCGATCTCAACTGGCATCTTCGAGCGCATCCCGCTTTGGCATCTGGCGTCGTTGAGGCGATAGGAGGAGTAGTAGCCGTGGGAACGTCCCGAGCGTTTTGCTCCAGGGACGATGCCTCCCTTCAAAATCGACTGAAGGCCACTTGTCGAGGTGCGATGGTAAATCTTCTTTGGCGTGTCTGCGGCAGACAGCACAGTTACCCCGAACTCATTGGTCCTCACCTCAGCCTCCTCAGCACTCAAATCGCTGTACCACGCGGTTGCCAGCAGATAGTCCGCGTCTTCATCGCTCACCAGCTTGGCATTGTGTCCCTGTGCAATGCGACCCCTGACCGGGAAGAGCTCCTGCCCGATCGTCTCTTTCATAGGGACATCGATACCCAACAAGCGAATGCGGCCTTTCTTGTCGGCCTTCGCTGCCCTCAGGAGCTGCCTCACTCCCCATCTCCTCTGACGGCAATGGTTGAACCGGTCGAGCAGCTTGTCGACATCGGTCCAACAGCCCTTGGCGAAGACAAGGCCATGCTGCTCGAGCTCATGTCCACGCAACAGCAAGGAGAGGAATTTGAGGTCACCGTGATTAAACTTGACCTCCTGATTTCCCTTGATGATGTCCTGTGGGTTGATCGGCAGCATGCGGTGCTTGGTGCCGTTGTAGAAGTACTCCTGTGCCGGAGACCTACTTGCTGTGGCTACCCCTTGCGGGGCGCTATGGTCGATGTACATCTCACGCCGAAGGTCGTCCTCATCGCGATCGGTTTTTCGAGTTGGTGCAACCTTTGCCCTTGGCGTGGTTGCCTCTTCGATCACGCGGTCCATCGACGATTGAATGGGGACGTCATAGTCACCCGCATCGACCAAGTCCACATCGCTCGGTGGTTGGTATGACACTTTGCCATCTGCGTCCTGCACAACCACATCGTTGATGCATTCAGCCAGGCCTTCCACCGTTGTTGCGGGCCCGAAATCCGGCACATCCTCGCGGATGGCTTTATCAGCAGGAGGCTCGGCCGGGAGCTTCGTGATGTCCTCCGCCTTTGCGACGTCGGGAAGCTCCCAGGCCTTATCCTCCTCCGTGATTTCGGAGTGCTCCTTCTTAATCTTCACGGCCGTCTTGGGGTTCATGATGGCCTCCTTCTGAGCATACCACTCCCTGAGGACTTTCGAGGCTGTTGGGTTTCCGGCATTGTCCGGTTCCTTGTGTTTAAATCTGCGGCGCAGCGGCTTAATCGCGATTGCCATCTTCTCGGCCAACCACTCGGCTCGAGAGACGCTGACGGTAGCATGCACAAACGCTGTAAAGACAGCTCTGTTGTGTTCATCTTCCGATGCGTGGAAGGCGTCGTACAACTCAAGCTTTTCCACACATGTTGTTGCCGACTGAGTCTGCAGGCCCCGGTTTTCGAATTCGGTGAACATCGCCTCATTGAACTCATCGTATGCATTGTGAAGCTGGAAGAGTTCCGAGTCCACCTTGCCGATGATCTTGATGTAACCGATTTCGTTACCGGGCTCACCCTTGCGGGCGGCTAAGGAGTCGGCGGCACGGCGAATCTTTCTCGCCACATCTTCGGTAGATGCCGGGGCATCCCTGTACGCTGCTCCAGGGCATATGCGTGTTGGGATACAGCCCCATTGGCCGCTGATCTCGTTGCCGGCCCACCAGACGATGATATCCACCAGAGCGTCGGCATAGTCCACCGCAGCAACCTTCAAGTGCTCTTCAACCTACCATGCCAGCCAACTCAATGTTTTCCCCCAGCACATGGTGTAGTATGCGTGGAGGTAGCCGCAGTTAAGCGCCACATTGTCGATCTCCTGAGCAAGGTCGCCCTTTGTCAGCTTTCCTTTCCTGTTCGACTTGCACAACGCTGTCGAGGAGTCACTGACAAAGATGAGCACTCTCTTTCTCTTCGGGCTCAACCTTGCGGTTGGCTTCAATTTCGAGAGTCCCTCATCGCCAAGGTAGGACATTTCAATGAGGTTGGGAACCTTGGCTTCGGAGCTCGCCAGGGCGATCTGGGCCGCACACTGAGTCGTGACGCCTTGATACGCCTCCTCGAGCATCCGCTGCTCGGTGCTGGGCCCAAAGCACAGGCAGTCCGAGTGCACCCTCCCTCTTGCCAGAAGGGTCTTCATGGCATCCAAGACTCCATCACGGTCCACCTCAGAGGTGTTGACCCGGACGTACTCATCCTGTACGACAATGGCAGCCATGGCTTCCAAGGACTTGGGCGTTACAGCAGGTGATCTCGAGCAACAGAACGCTTTGTTTGCAGCGAGTTTCTCAGCAGTACCACACGCAGCAAGATCGGAATCCACTCGTACTGAGCTGCAGCTTTTGTGGAATACAGTGGTGTGTGTTTGTGCACTCGATCGATGCGAAAACATTTT